AGGAAGAGAAGAGATTTCCATAGAGCAAAGAGGCTAGAATTAACAAGACAGTGAGATGGGGAAAAGCTGGCAACAGTAGGAAAAAAGGATAACTAATGAGGGCTGGGAAGGTTAGGGTTTTTTTCCAAAAACAGGGCCAGGTCCCAAGTATATAAATGGGCAGTGATTCTCAACCATAGCTATATGTTACAATCATCTGGGATGCTTTTAAAATATACCAGTGTCTGGGCCTTAACATAGACCAATTATATCAGAATTTCTGGAGGTAGAGTTGAGCATCTCTAGTTCCTAAAACCTTCCCAGGTGATTTTTTTGTGAGACAGAGTCTCACTCAGTCACCCAAGCTGGAGCACAGTGGTGCAATCTTGGCTCACCACAACCTCTGCCTCCTAGGTTCAAGCAATTCTCCTGCCTCAGCCTCCTGAGCAGCTGGGACTACAGGTGTGCGCCACCACACCCAGCTAATTTTTGTGTTTTTAGTAGAGACGGGGTTTCACCATGTTGGCCAGGCTGGTCTCAAACTCCTGACCTCAGGTGATCCACCCACCTCGGCCTCCCAAAGTGCTGGAATTACAGACATGAGCCACTGAGTCTCTCCCCAGATGATTCTAATCAGCAGCCAGGGTTGAGAAACACTGATATTAAGGAATTGTGCTGTCAGTCAGTGGAACCTCACCAAAGCCCTTCTGGTTCTTAAGTGTTGTCAAAAGTCATGCTGCCCCTGAAGGGAAAAGCTGCAGGCAGCAAAGGAAAGTACAGAATCTCCTGCTATTAAAGTAGCCCTGACATTCAAGGGAACCTGAAAGAGGGATCCTCTCTGATTGCAGTTTATTTTGTGATTAGGGCAGTGGTTCCCAAAGTTGTCCACACATTGGAATCACCAGCGTGCTTCAAAAAATACTAACATCTGCAAACCCCATGTAGCTGGAAAAAAATTAAAAGAAAAAAAATACTAACATCTCTGTCCCACTCATATTGACTGTGATTTAATTGGTCTGAAGTACAGTCTGAGCTTTGGAAGTTTTTAAAATCCCTGGATGTTTCCATATGTGTAGACATGTTTCAGAACCACTGGATTGGATAAAGACGGGGATATTCACCACTATCTGCTTGGCCATTTAGAGACTGGTATTTTCTAATTTGGGGTACTATCTGGAGCATGATTCTGAAACCATGCTGCATATTATAATTACTTGGGGAGCTTTAAAAAGTCCTGATGCCCAGGCCACCCTTCATTCCAATTAACTCAATCTCCGAAGTACGACCCAGGCATCAGTATCTTTAACATCTCCAGATGGTTCTGTTGTGCAATTAAGTTAGAGAACCAGTAATCTACTACAGTACTTCCCAAAGCAGCATCAGCATCACCTGGGTCCTTATCAGAAAGGCAGATTCTCAGGCCTCACCTCAAATCTATTGAATTAGAAATTCTGAGGGTGATAGGACCATTGATCTGTGTTTTACAAACCCTCCAGGAGATTTAGATGTGTGGTAAAGTTGAAGGCTGCTGATGTAGAGAAATGTGGCTGCCCATTTGCCCTCCACTTCTAGTGAACCTCTATATCCACACATGCAGAGGTGAAAACTCTTCAGTATACCACATTCTAAACATAGTAAACTCTTACTATGATATATTTTTTTAAAAAAATGTATTCTCGTATTTTTTTCTTAAAATCGTTCCATTATTTAGGATTTACCAAGCTGAAAGTAAAAATATAACTACAGGAAACAAACATTTTTAAGCCTCATTAAACCTTAACTTCGTACTGTTTAAATGTGGTCACTTTGTTTAGGTCATTTAAAACTATTTATCTCTTAATTTGTTGCCCTGAATTTTATATGATTGAGGTTCTTCCCTTTATTAGTAACAAAATATTTGTTGTATGCTTTCCTCTACATAAAAAAAATTATACCATGAGTGCATGGTATAATTGTTGAGAATTTGGAACATTGATGAAATTAAGTCAGTGAATAGTGTATGTAGGTACAAGCTAATTTTAATAATTATTTTAAATCTCCTTCATTCATCACAGAATGATTTGGGTAAATCTTATTTTTTATTTATATTTTTTTTGAGAGGGAGGCGGGTTCTTTTTTCTTAGGCTGGAGTGCAATGGCGCGATCTCGGCTCACCGCAACCTCCGCCTCCTGGGTTCAGGCAATTCTCCTGCCTCAGCCTCCTGAGTAGCTGGGATTACAGGCACGCGCCACCATGCCCAGCTAATTTTTTGTATTTTTAGTAGAGACGGGGTTTCACCATGTTGACCAGGATGGTCTCGATCTCTTGACCTCGTGATCCACCCGCCTCGGCCTCCCAAAGTGCTGGGATTACAAGCGTGAGCCACCGCGCCCGGCTTTTTTTTTTTTTTTTAAATGGAGTCTTGCTCTGTCATTCAGGCTGGAGTGCAGTAGTGCAATCTTGGCTCACTATAACCTCTGCCTCCTGGATTCAAGCAATTCTCCTGCCTCAGCCTCTGGAGTAGCTGGGATTACAGGCACATACCACCACACCCAACTAATTTTTATATTTTTATTAGAGATGGGGTTTTACCATATTGGCCAGGCCAAGGTCTTGATCTCCTGACCTTAGGTGATCTGCCCGCCTTGGCCTCCCAAAGTGCTGGGATTACAGGCATGAGCCACCATGCCAGGCTGATTTGGGGTAAGTGTTATGCCAAGTCTTCACAACTTGTGGAGAGATATTAAGGTGGATAAATATATTATTTGTCCTCAGATGCCTTTGTAGCTTGAGGACATTGACATGGGGGGGAAATTAAAATGGAGTGATAATTACTATAATACCATATAAAGGATGATATGAGAGATGAAGAGAGAGCAACAAACTGTGCTTGAGGAAGGTGAGAAACGTTTCAGAGAGAAGGCGGCATGTAGAAGCTTCCCACAGAGAAAACATTCCTGGCACCAGGCAGAGCAGACACGTTCGGCACACATGGTACAAGGGAATTCAAGTTGTCTATATCTTTATAACCTTGAATATTCAGAGATGAAGACCAGTCCTTACCAAAGTCAAGTGCAAAGTCAAAGAGCTGTCCTCAAATAGAACAATAAAGGGGAAGGGGAACAAATTTTCATAAAGTGACTGTTGTGTATCAGGTGCCATGCTAGACACTAGTGTACAGGGAACAACTGAAGGCATAACTAAGGCTACTGATAGTCTGCTCTCCCCCAGTTTTTCTCTTAAGCAAGAGTCTGCTTACCTTGACTCAAAGAGACCAGCCATCTTCCATCAGTTCAAAGGTGAATGTTTAACTGCTTAGCTATTTATTCCTCTTCTCTGTGCAGTCTTTGATTCCCAGAGAAGGCTGAACTGGGTGGACGCAGTAGCTCATGGCTGTAATCCCAGCACTCTGGGAGGCCAAGGCAGGTGGATCACAAGGTCAAGAGATTGAGACCATCCTGGCCAACATAGTGAAACCCCATCTCTACTAAAAATATTAAATATTATTAAAAAAAAAAAAAGAGAGAGAAGGTTGAACTGCCAAGGCATCCAGATTAAACACTGTGGCAGTAGTAGTTCAGGTACATGCTCATTCAGACTGCATATTTATTTGGGAGATATTCAAGTGCTGTTCTACCAGGCAGGTGCATCTTCCTCTGATTAAGAGCCACTAGGGTTTTTTCAAAGATCCACATTTGTATACCAAACACAGGGAAACCTACAGAACTAAAGCTACTTATTGATTACTTTTTTTTCCTCCATCAGGTATGAAGATGATAAAAAAGAATGGGCTGGGATGTTGAAGGAAATACGCTATGCTTCAGGAGCTAGTTGCCTAGCAACACGTTTAAATCTCTTCAAACTGTCTAAACTATGAACAAGGTGACAAAACATAATGGGGAGGTGGTTTGTTTGGTGAATGGGGCTTTAATTTATTGTTTTTTAAAAGCTTGTACAGACAGTCATGTAGAAATTATTCAGGAAATTGTCTTAGAGATGAGCAGTAGGTAACAAAACCTCAGTCACTGACTCTTCAATGTAATGTTCAGAACTTAAAACCATTTTCTAATAAGAAATTAAATATTCAGTTGAACAAATTATTTTGTGAATGTTTCACTCAATGCATTATAAAGAAGTCTCCTAAATTTGAGTTATTTGCTAATCATTTCATTTGCATTGTTAGGGTATCTTTACGTTAATTTTCTATTACAATTGGAAGCGGAGAATATGTGCATCTACATTAAAAAAATGTGTAAGATATCAAAAACCTCTCCTCATGCTTCAAAATGACAGGAATCCTGTGCGTTTTACTAAAAATTACATGCCATAAGAAGACTTCAGAAATGCTACTTCAGAAGTGTAATAAATGGATGGGGAAAAGTCTCTTCTAAGTAAAAACAGTCAAATTCAAATGGCCATTTCTCTCTCTTTTTTTTTTTTTTTTTTTTTTTTTTGCGACACTGGCACATTATTTGTGGTTTCCAAATCAAATTTTTATTAAAACCAGTAAATCAGTCTTCAAGCCAATAACTATAGCATCTGTGGCAGGAGGGTAAGAGAGCACCCTTAGGAAATGGATTGATTCTTTAATGCTGGGGCAGAAGTTGTGGTCAATGGGAGATGTGGAGGAGGTTGTGTATTCACTGATTTAAATTTTGGCTACTCTCTGTGAAAGTGCTATTTGCTAAATTTCTGACTGCAAGGAAGGTGACTGTATTACTTCATTTTCTGGGATGTGATGTCCTCCATTCACTGTTTGTTTCTTCTTAGTGCATATAGTAAGTTGACTCCTCAGTCTGCTCATAACCATCACATTCAACTCTGCAAGTCATAAATTAATCATCACTTTTAGCCACACACCAACTTATGGGTCTCACATAGCTTTCATAGACATATATTTGACTTCTATCCTTACACGTTATTTTCTGAAAAACCTGACCTGGGACTGATTTGGAACATTCACGATTATTTGTCAAGGAGTTGCATAAAGAACAGATCTAAGTATTCATACACCATTTTTTCTCTATCATAAATACAGAAATATATTTAACAGAAACAAGTTTTATTTTGGATATTTAAAGTAGAATCCTGATTACTCTTCTATATTGAAAAATACTTTTCTTAATTATAGCATGAATACAGAATCAAGAAATTCCCAAAGTGGAAAACCCTACAGGTTCTTCAACAAATAAACTGTTAGGAAGCAAAAGGGACACTTAGACTCAAAAGGGTGCAGGAAGAGGGGGCCACAGGGATTATGGTGTCCAGAAGTATACATCTGGGTGATAAAATTGTAAGAATCTCTTACTATAAAATCAGGATTGAGACTACTTTTGGGGAGAGAATGCCAATCTACACAGATGTAAAAATAAGTTGTAAAAATGATGCTTCTTGCAGGGTTTCTTTTGAGGATGATGATGTTCTGAATCAGATATGGGTGATGGTTGCACAAATATACTAAAAACCACTGAATTACATACTTTTAAAGGGTGAATTTTATAATATGGGAATTGTATCTCAATAAAAAATGCTTTTGTTTATAACGAGGTAAGCTATTTAGATAGAAAAATCATCAATCAAAAATATAACAGTATTTATATTTATATATTATATATAAAAGAAAACCATTTGCATCAGATAGCCTGGAGCAGGATTCCCCAACTGGGCCACACGGCAAGAGGCAAGCAGTGGGCAGGCAAGCTAGCATTACCACCTGTGCTCCACCTCCTGTCAGATCAGCAGCTACATTAGATTCTCATAGGGGCACGAACCCTCCTATTGTGAACTGTACACGTGTGCAATCTAAGTTGTGCACTCCTTATGAGAATCTCACTAATGCCTGATGATCTGAGATTTTATCTTGAAACCATTCCATCCCCCCACTCTGTCCGTGGAAAAACTGTATTCCACAAAAATGGTCCCTGATGCCAAAAAGGTTGGAGACTACTGCCTAGAGAGAGTAAGAGATGTGATAGGTGAAAAGTTCAATCATATGTAACAACCAGTGAAAGTACACAAAGGTTATTTTCAATCAGGAGTTCCATGTTCCTCAAGTATATAATGACTAAATTTTCACTTATATCCAAAGGAAACCCTTTATAATCCTCATCAGCCTAATCATTTTATTCTAAAATTGCATAGTAAAATATTTTAACCTAACCAAGGGTTTAGTTCTTGTTATCATTTGCTTGAGAAATAGAACACAATCATGGAAATTAAACACTCTGAATTTAGCATTTCCACTAATATAAATCAATATGAGGAATTCAGAAAGAGGAAGAGACAATGAGACATCTTTCACTTACTATTCTGATTGTTTTTCACAAAACGTTTTGTGAAGTTAATGTTCCACAAAATCATTAAGTATTGGCATTCAAATCATGCAGTCATTGGATATTTTAAACAGGTACTTCAACTAAGTCTAAGCCAAATATCAGTGAAGCAAATTACATGCAAGACACATATTTTAAAGCTATACTTAGGAAGTGAGAGGGTCATGGAGTCAGAAGATAGCCACGTTTCAGATGGCCAATTACTGCCACCATCACCAGGTGGTCTGAGTGAGGGTAGTTAGGCTGTGGCCTGCTGAGTACAAAACCATCACTCTTAGAGGAAGGGTTGGGGATTATATCACATAGCAGGCCCTTAGTAACCATTTTATTGAATAAATGTGTTGTAAGACAGGGGAAATACCATTATTCCCTCAACATGTGTAGGCTCAGACCAGGTCAAGATTGGTCCACTCAGCTACGACCCCATTTCTTTGCTTCCATTTAGGAGAAAACGTATATCCTCCCATTTTCTCTTGAACTAGTCAGGCTTTCACACACGCCACTTCAAAATGACTCTTTTCAAAGTACTAATGATTTCCATGTTGCTAAATTTAATAGCCATTTCCCATTTCTCATCTTACCTGACCTATCAGCAGCATCTGATACCACTACTCACCTCCTTGAAATGCTTTATCCACTTGGCTTCTAGGAAGGATTACTACCTTCTTTCCTCCTATCTCATTGGCCATCCCTGCTCAGTCTCCTTTCCTGATTCCTCTTCTTCCTATTAATCTTTTAATGTTGGAGCACCAAACTCAGTCCTCAGCCCTCTCCTCCATTCACACTCTTACCTCATTTTAAGTGATTTCATCTACTTAATCTTATTTTAAGTGATTTCGTCTCAGGGCATTGAATACTGCTGACAACTTATACATTGTATCTGGGGCCTGGATGTCTTCCCTGACCTCCAAGCTCATTTACTGAATTCTCTATTTGGTATATCCACTTAGATGTTTAAAAGACATCACAAACTCAACATATCTAAAACAAACTCATAATCAACCCCACCACCTGCCCCATCTTGCTCGTCCTGTAGACCATCCCCATCTCAGTTAATGCTCATTAGCATTAACATCCTTTTAGTTGCTTAGGACAAAAACTTAGAATTATCCTTGACTCCTATTTCTCTCATACCTCATATCCACTCACTGAGCAAATTCTGTTGCCTTTATCTTCAAAATACATCCAAAAATCTGACTACTTCTCATTACCTCCACTGCTCCACTCTCTCCAAGCCACCATTCATTTCTTGCCTGGATTTTTGCAATGACCTCATAGAGGGTTTTCTTGCTTACACTTTTGCCTCATCATAGTCTTTTCTTATCTCAACAAGGTAGCCAAAGTAATGCAGTTAAAATGTGAGTTCATATCATTCCTTGCTTGAATCCCCCCAATGGCTTCTCATCTCACTCCAAGTAGCCAAGAGGTTGTATTTGACTCTGTTATCTCTTTCCTTTTCTCTTACATACTCCCACCCCACTCCCCACTTGTTCTGCTCCAGCCATACTGGATCCTTTGTTATTCTCAAACATGCCAGGCATGTTCCCACCTTAGGATATTTGTACCTCTTATTTTATATTGAGTCAGGCCACTTAATTCAAATAAGTCCAAATGTGACACATGATAACATTCATTTAAACAACTACAATCATAATTTGACTTCTCCAAATATACGTTCTCTCAGGTAGTCCATCCTAGCATCCTTTGTTGACAGTGCCATAGAGTTCCATTCAAACTGAGAAATCTGTAAAATAAGTAATGTAATTTGAATGAAAGTTTTAAAGCAATAACAAAAAACACTGAGGAAGGCATGTAAGTACTACTGATCAAAGCTGTAGGAATCCTGTGAAATTAGTTTACATAAGAATAGTCTATGAACCTTTATTGGAAGCCAAGTGGGTCCTTCTGACCTTGCCTGGAAGACTTTTTTCTGTTCCTTTCATCCTCCTTTTCCTACAATACCAATGACGGACATTTTTTCCTACATAGCCTTCTATATTCATACACTAGTTGTTTCCTCTGATAATTCTACCCATTTTTACAGTGCCTCTCTCCTTTCCAAGGTACAGATATCATAAGATATAAATAGTCTAAAGACGATAAAATAAATGACAACTTATATTTATTTATTTTTATGAGACAGAGTCTTGCACTGTCACCCACGCTGGAGTGCAGTGGGATGATCATGGCTTAATGCAGCCTCAGTCTCCTGGGATCAGGCAATCCTCCCACCTCAACCACCCAAGTAGCCACAGGCATGAGCTACTGCACCTGGCCTGTTTGAGGGATACATTTTTTAAAAAAATATTTTAAAAGATAATTATGGAACTTACACATTAAAAGAAAGCACATGTACAGCGAGTGTCTCTGGGCTTTTTAGATGCTGAATTACATGAGTATTTCATACCTGAATTACACGATAGCCCAAAATTTCCAAATGTCGTTTTTTCATAGCAGATTTTCCTTTTATGTGAGGAATATTTCTACAAAATGCTTTCGAATCCAAAAATTCCAAAGCAATCCTACATAAGACAAAAAACATTTACTTCCAAAATCAATATAAGAAACTGAATAATTACAAGCTTTTCAGGAGCATGTTTGCATCTTTATAAACTAACAAAAGCCAGTGAATATAAATGAGTGTAACAAGTTACATTTCTGCTAAGAAATTAGTAACTGATGACAAAACTATTAAGTGACACAAAATTATTGTAAATATCTGTCTGCTTTCATCCATTTTTTTTGTCCAATATATATTTACACATGCCTATTATATGTAAGCTACTGTGAGGGGTACAAAGATGAAGTGATACAGCTTATAGTCTAACAGAGAACACATGATGTATATTAAGTTACTATAATGCTATGTAGGAAGTGGCTAAGTGCTACGGGAAAAGTAGAGAGGCAGGGGAGCACAAAAGAAGATACTATTTTACTTCTAGTTGAGGACAATTCTTCTAGCACTATAGGGAGATTGCTAGGCTTTGGATAGAAGAAGGGAGAACATTAAAGCAAAGGGACAGGAAAAGCAAAGTTACAAAGATGGAGTGCATGACATAGGAAGAACAGATTCTACTACCTTCAATCCTTGATCACTGACTTGCGAAATTTAACATTTAGATATTAATAAAATCTAAGAAACAAATTACCTTTCAGCTCCTGGTGGCAGCCTTGATCCAACTATTTCAGTATTTGATTCCCAGGGCATTTCTGGTTGTTGTCCCAATGTTATATTATGGCTTCCATAAGGAAGAGGTTTTTTTTTTTTTATCCAAGGTACACTCAAAATCTTAAGGAAGCATAGAAACTAGCAGTATGAATTAGGTAAAGTCTTACAGATAAAAGTTTAAGATATACTGAAATGTATATGCATATATTTATACACATAACACACAAAAGATCTTATTTTATAAGATCTAGTCCAATGGCACCTCTCTTTAGAAATCACTCAATAAAAAAATCAACCAGAAGAATTACAAATAATATTAAGTACTGGGCTACATTTAGTACTAGGCTAGGCCAAATCACATTAAAGAGTTTTACTCTCACTGGGCATGGTGGCTCATGCCTGTAATCCCAGCACTTTGGGAGGTCGAGGTGGGTGGATCACAAGGAGGAGATCAAGACCATCCTGGCCAACATGGTAAAAACCCATCTCTACTGAAACTACAAAAATTAGCTGGGCAGGGTGGTGCGTGCCTGTAATTCCAGCTATTGGGAGGCTGAGGCAGGAGAGTTGCTTGAATCAGGGAGTTGGAGGTTGCAGTGAGCCAAGATCGTGCCACTGCACTCCAGCCTGGCAACAGAATGATACTCTGTCTCAAAATAAAAAAAGAGTTTTAATCTCCTTAAGTCTCTTGGTTACACTTGGAGGAAGCTAAACCAACTCATCTGAAAATTAATAAAGAAAAAGATTCAAGCATTTATCCTGTCTTTCCTACATGAATTGCATATAAGGGTAACTAAACAGTTGATATGGGAAAGTTCTTTTGAGACAAATTCTGGCTAATAAATGTAGAAGGTATGATAGCTGTAGAATATCACTACTTTACCACCTCTCTGAATGATGGATTTAGGCAATGAGTGATCATTAATAACTGCTAAAATCAGCAGGTGAAAAGCTGTCAGGGGAACTTTCTGTTGAATGAATCAGCTGACAACATACAAACCCACTATAGTCCTAATATATAAAAGATAAACAAGCTGGGCACGGTGGCTCACACTTGTAATCCCAGCAATTTGGGAGGCCAAGGCAGGTAGATTGCTTGAGTGCAGGAGTTCCAAACCAGCCTGGGCAACATGGCAAAACATAATCTCTACAAAAAAATTTTTAAAATAAGCCAGGTGTAGTGGCAGCTACTCAGGCTGAGGAGGCTGAGGTGGGAGAATGCCTTGAACCTAGGGGGTCGAGGCTGCAGTGAGCCATGCTTGTGCCACAGCACCTCAGCCTGGGCAACACAGCCAGACTCTGTCTCAAAAAAAAAGAAAGAAAAGAAAAAGACAACTGGCATTGTGTGCCTCCTGATAGAATGCAATAAGAAGTACAAGCCACTTATGAATTTCTGGCCAGAAAGAAAAACCTAAAAAAAAAAAACACTAAAATCTAATCAAGTCTCTAGATACCACTAATGGTTTACAGCAAACCCAGGTTTCCAGTAAAAAAACGTTAAAAACTGTTAGATGACATATTAAATATTATCACAGGGTTGCAATTAGAAAAGTTCAAAATGTGAAAAAAAAAACTTATTCTCAAATAAATTTTAAGTTAAAAAAGAAGCTGTAGAAAAGAAAAAGTTGAACCAGAAACTGCAAACCAACCAAGTAGAATGTCAAGATCCCAATTTGAACAAATAAATTGTAAAATAAACATAAAAGACACTTAAAACAGGAGAAACAAAGGTATAAGGGTGGAATGAACGAGACGTATGAGTAATAGATTCTACTACCTTTGATGCTTCATCAAGTTCATTATAGTATGCCAAATCTAACATTTTGATAAAATGTTAAATTTCATTTAAAATGTCCCATACCTCTCTACTTTTGTTAAATTTCCCATAATTCCACTGCCTTCAATCCTTGACCACTGAGTTCATTATAGTATGACAAATCTAACATTTCCATAAAATGTTAAATTTTATCTCAAATTTCCCCTGTCTACTTAAAATTCCCATACCTCTCTACATTTCTTAAAAGATTTAAAAATTATTATTAATTGTTATAGGATGATAAAGATATTGTTATGTTTTTAAAGTCATTCTCATCTTTAGATATACATCCTGAAATGATACAGTGTCTGTGATTTGAAAAGAATGAGATGGAAATCAGGTGAAAAACTCAGGCACTGAACCATCTTTAAATTAATTATGAAATATATGGCTTTCTCATTAAGAGAATGAATTCTAGAGCCAGAATGCCAAGGTCAAATCCTGGCTCTGTCATTTGCCAGGTATGCAACCTTGGGCAATCAATAATGTTTGTGGGTTTCAGTCTCCTCATGTGTAAATACTTTATATACCTCACAGGGATATAAGTTTACTATACACACACACACACACACACACACACACACACACAAGTACTTATAAAGCACTTAAAACGGTGTCTAACACATAATAAGCAATATATCAAGATATATCTATTATTGTTATATGAAATTGCAGCATTGTTAGACAGATGGACATAACAGCAAAAAAATCTTATAGATTAAATCATAGCATACTCAATGAAATATGCAGTAACTAAAAAAGATGTATAAGCATATCTGTTGGCATAGAAAAATATTCACAACACATAAAGTTATAAACTGCTATGATCTGAATATGTCCCCAAATTTCATATGTTGAAACTTAGTCATCAATGTATTAATCATAATAGTGAGACCTTAGGCCAGACGTGGTAGCTAATAATGCCTGTTATCCTAGCACTTTGGGAGGCAGAGGCGGGAAGACTGCTTGAGCTCAGGAATTTAAGATCAGCCTGTGCAACATGGTGAAACCCCATCTCTACAAAAAATACAAAAATTAGCGTGGTGTGGTGGTGTGAGCCTGTAGACCCAGCTATTTAGGAGGCTGAGGTGGGAGAATCACTTGAGCTCTGGAGGCAGAGGTTGCAACGAACCATAATCATGCCATTGCACTCCTGGACTGCCAACCTAGGTGACAGAACAAGATGCTTTCTCAAAAAAAAAAAAAAAATGGCAGAACCTTTAGGAGGTGATTAAGTCATGAGGGCAAAGCCCTCTTTTTTTTTTTTTTTTTTTTGAGACAGAGTTTCGCTCTTGTTACCCAGGCTGGAGTGCAATGGCGCGATCTCGGCTCACCGCAACCTCCGCCTCCTGGGTTCAGGCAATTCTCCTGCCTCAGCCTCCTGAGTAGCTGGGATTACAGGCACGTGCCACCATGCCCAGCTAATTTTTTGTATTTTTAGTAGAGACGGGGTTTCACCATGTTGACCAGGATGGTCTCGATCTCTTGACCTCGTGATCCACCCGCCTCGGCCTCCCACAGTGCTGGGATTACAGGCTTGAGCCATGGCGCCCGGCCTGGCAAAGCCCTCTTTAATGAGATTAGTGACCCTATAAAAGAGCGCCATTTTTGCCTTCCTATCTCTTCTGCCATGGGAGGACACAGCATTCAAAGTGCCTTCTTGAAAGTAGAGATCAGGTCCTCACCAGATACCAAACCTGTTGGTACCTCGAACTTAGACTTCCTAGCCTCCAGAACTGTGAAAAATGAATTTTTGTTGTTTATAAATTAACCAGTCTCAGGTATTTTGTTATAGCAGCAGGAAAGGACTAAGACACAAACACTACAGAAGAAAACCATTTTTGTCTTTCTTTTAAAAAGTGAGGAAAACAGACACCAAAAGCAAACAGTGGCTATATCAATGCGTGATTTTTCTTTTTTGTTATCTGCCCTTTCTGGTTTTTCTATGCTATACATGTCTCATGTAATTTTTTTTTTTAAGAGATGGGGTTATGTTCATACGGTTCTGAGGAAAAAAAAAGAAACATTTTAAAAAGAGATGTGGTCTCAATATATTGCCCAGGCTGGACTCAAACTTCTGGGCTCAAGTGATCCTCTTACCTCTGTCTCTCCAAGTAGCTAGAATTACAGACTTGTGCTGCCATGCCCGCTTCAATGTTTGTTGTCTTTGTTTTTGTTTTAGAGACAAAGTCTTGCTCTGTCACTCAGGCTAGAGTGCAATAGCATGATTGTAACTCACTGCGGCCTCTATCTCCTGGGCTTAAGACATTCTCCCACTTCAGCCTCCCAATGGGACTACATGGGTAAAGCACCATGCCTGCTAATTTTTATTTATTTATTATTTAGAGACAGGATCTCACTCTGTTGCCACCATGCCCACTAATTTTATTTATTTATTTATTTAGAGACAGGGTTTCACTATATTGCCCAGGCTAGTCTCAAACTCCTGAGCTCAAGCCATTCTTCTACCTCAGCCTTCCAAAGAGCTAAGATTATGTGCATGAGCCATAATCATGCACATGTTTATGGATTTTTGTTACATCCAATTCAATCCTGATTAATATAAAATCAAACAAAGGAAAGTATGTGTTTCGTAGCACAAGATGAAAGTATTAGTGATTATCTAGTTCACCTTCCTGCCCTGTGCAGAAATCATACACATGTATCATCTGAATATTCAGCCTCTGCCTCAACATTACTTATTCAGAAAGCAGCCAATAATTCTCCTTACACGAACTTAAAATCTGCTTCCTTTCATTTTTATCATTTTTTCATCCCTGAGATAGAGATATCTAGTTCTTCTACTTAATAATCCTTCAAACATTTAAAAATGTTATGGTCCCCATAAGACTTCTATTTTTCAGAGTAAGCATCCTTTTTTTATTCCCAAATAAGATTTATTGGGCTGGGTACAGTGGCTCATACCTGTAATCCCAACACTTTGGGAGGCTGAGCTGAGGCAGGAGGATCGCTCAAGCCCAAGAGTTTGAGACCAGCCTGGGCAATATAGTGAGACCCTGTCTCTATAAAAAAATAAAAATAAAAATAAATTTATTGAGCACTTACTATGTTCCAAGGGTAGTGTTAAATGCTTTACATGCAATATCTCAGTTAATCCTATGAAGTAGGCATTATTATCTCCATTTCACTGATGAAAATGCTAATAAGGTTCAGAAGAACTTGCTCAAGGATAGAAATCCATCCAATCTTAGTCCTCTCTAGCCCTTTCTAAGACTTGATTAGACAAGATCCTTCACTATCTGTCCTCCTTTGTTTCTAGACCCTACTTGCCACTATCTCTTAAAAAGGATAAAATGCAAATACACACACACACACACACACACACACACACACACACACACACACAATATTAAGATGTCTGAGAAATAGAATACAATGGGATTACGAACTTTTTTGTTATTATTAACAATATGGTTTAAATAGTATTTGATTTTTGGCCACCATTTACATTGTTAGTTTATAACAAGTTTATAATCCCTTTAAATATCCTATATATATGCGGAGGTTTTCTAAACCTAAATGTAGAAAGTTTATGTTAATTATCTAAAAATTTTATCTTTTTCATTTAAGATCACCACTTGAATGTATCAATATCTTTGAAAATTTTATATTGCCATCAGCATAGGCCAGTCCACTAGCTTTATATGATCCACAATCTAATCATAATGCCTTCTACAACTAGACCAGTTGAGAAACAAGATTAATCAGGTTAGCATCAAGTACAGTAGCTTTTCAGATGAACTTAAAACAATGAAATAGAGATAAAAAGTCATTTCTCTTATTTTCACACACTGAATGGAGAGGACAGAATCTTTTGAAGATCTGGAAATGTTCAGTGAATCTGAATCTGGGTTTTACTTAGAATTGGTAGAGGACTAACCTTAATTTTTTTTTTTTTTCCTCAAGAACAGCAAAATGCTCCTGGTTATTAACACTGGGCCACAGGAATTTGAGGATTTATTCTATTGTTCTTTCTACTGTTGTTTGGAAATTTTCAATAATAACAACTTGAAAAAAATTCAAAACAACATTTTTTTTTGAGACAAACTCTCACCTTGTCGCCAGGCTGGAGTTCAAAGGCATGATCTCAGCTCACTGCAACCTCTGCCTCCTGGGTTCAAGCGATTCTCCTGCCTCAGCCTCTCGAGTAGCTGGGACTACCGTGCATGCCCCATGCCCAGCTAATTTTTGTATTTTTAGTAGAGACGGGGTTTCAACATATTGGCCAAGATGGTCTCGATCTCTTAACCTCGTGATCCCCTCAGCTCGGCCTCCCAAAATGCTGGGATTATAGGCGTGAGCCACCGCACCCAGCCAAAACAACTTTTAAAAATTCCAACCGAAAAACAAAAACAAAAATTCCAACTGATAAGACGATTCTATTCAAATTAGTTTGATTTTCTGAAAGTAACTAATAACCTACCAATAACTTACCTACTGTGTGGTAATAAGGCGTAAGAACCGAGGCTTTTACACAATTGATTCCTCCTAGTACCTCTGCTAACATTTTATAAATCTGCTGTTGTGCTCTATTCATGCCACCAATACCTTTATAAAAATAAAAATAATTAGTCTACTCAATCTTTTTTTTTTTTTTTTTTTTTTGAGAGAGTCTCGCTCTTGTTGCCCATGCTGGAGTGCAATGGCACGATCTCAGCTCACCACAACCTCTGCCACCCGGGTTCAAGTAATTCTCCTGCCTCGGCCTCCCAAGTAGCTGAGACTACAGGCACCCGCCACCATGCTCAGCTAATTTTTAGATCTCTTTAGTAGAGATGGGGTTTCACCATGTTGGCTGGGCTGGTCTCGAACTCCCGACCTCAGGTGATCCGCCCGCCTCTGCCTCCCAAAGTGCTGAGATTACAGGCATGAGCCACAGCACCCAGCCTTGTTCAGTTTTTTAATGAAAATCATCCCAATTCTACAAACTGAAAAATAAAGATTAATATTTCTAATAACAGCTTCAATGTAATATGGAATGACACTAAATTCAATACAAGTTCTTTGCTCTCAACTAAAAGAGGGTTATGTCCCAAATATTAAGAAATTTTTATAATGTCCCGCCTACAATATCTCACATAAAATATTAAACATGTCATGATTCTCTCGGGACATCTTGTGTCATGTTTAGGTATAACAAGATTAACAATGTACTACCTAATAATTTACTTTAGAATTAAATTTTACTATCTAAACTAAAAGAAAACTCAAACCTTTATTATATTGTTGGCAGAAGCGGTCATGAAACCATGGAATCTGAAACTCAGGGCATTCCAAGCAGACTGCTCTATTCAACTCCATAAGATGAAACTGGACTCTTGTACTTAGAGATGAAGGTAAAACTGAAATTAATAAAATATTAATGAATTTTGACAGCTGAGACCTAGGAAAGACAATCCATTTTTTTCACATTCATTTATCCCCACTACTGGTAGATGCTTTTATTCTAATACTATAAAAATACTTCATTTACACACATATGCTTTATATTTTTAAATTATTACATTCAGTGGCATGATTAGGACCAACTCCTGCACTGTTCTCATTAATCATGAATGTTAAAAACACATTTAAAAAATACTCCCAAGAATTTTCTTTCACCTAATAGTCCATATTTAGGTTTTTATCCTAAGGAAGCAATGATTCATGTATAACAATTCATTACTTACAATAATGAGGAATTGGAAACAACCTGTAAGATGACAAATTTTATTATATCCATGTAATGGGATATTATGTAGCCAATAAAAATCATGACATCAAAAAATATTTAATAACATGGAAAATTGTTCAAAATATAGTCAGATGGAAGAAGGCAGCATACAAAAGTGATATATAGCCAGCGTGGTGGCTCACGCCTGTAATTCCAGCACTTTGGGAGGCCAAGGTGAGCAGATCGCGAGGTCAGGAGTTTGAGACCAGCCTGGCCAACATAGTGAAATCCTGTCTCTACTAAAAATACAAAAATTAGCCAGGTGTGGTGGCACGAGCCTGTAGTCCCAGCTACTCAGGAGGCTGAGGCAGGAGAATTGCCTGAACCCGGGAGATAGAAGTTGCAGTGAGCCAAGACTGCCATTGCACTCCAGCCTGGGTGACAGAGTGAGACTCCATCTCAAAAAGAAAAAAAAGTGGCCGGGCACGGTGGCTCAAGCCCATAATCCCAGCACTTTGGGAGGCCGAGGCGGGTGGATCACGAAGTCAAGAGATCGAGACCATCCTGGTCAACATGGTGAAACCCCGTCTCTACTAAAAATACAAAAAATCAGCTGGGCCTGGTGGCACGTGCCTGTAATCCCAGCTACTCAGGAGGCTGAGGCAGGAGAATTGCCTGAACCCAGGAGGCGGAGGTTGCGGTGAGCCAAGATCGCGCCATTGCACTCCAGCCTGGGTAACAAGAGCAAAACTCCGAGTCAAAAAAAAAAAAAAGTGAATGTATAAATAATCCAAATTTTGTTTTAAATTCATATAGAGGCCAGGTGTGGGGCCTCTCGCTTGTAATCTCAGCACTTTGGGAGGCCGAGGTAGATGGATCATTTGAGGTCGGGAGTTCAAGACCAATCTGGCCAACATGGTGAAACCTTATCTCTACTAAAAATACAAAAATTAGCTGGGTGTGGTGGTGCATGCTTATAATCCCAGCTACTAGAGAGGCTGAAACAGGAGAATCCATCACTTGAACTGGGAAGCCAGAGGTTGTAGTAAGTCAAGATTGTGCCACTGCACTTCAGGCTGGGCAACATAGCAAGACTCTGTCTCAAAAAAAAAAAAAAAAGAAAAAAAGAAGAAAAAAAGAAAGGAAAAGAAAGATGGCTCATGCCTGTAATCCCAACACTTTGGGTGGCTGAGGCAGGAGGATTGCTTGAGGCCAGTGGGTAGAGAATAGCCTGGGCAAAATAGCAAGATTCTGTTTCAAAAAATAAAAATAAAAAATTTAACAAATTAAAATTAAATTCAGGCTGGGTGTAGGGGCTCATACCTATAATTTCAGCATCTGGGAGGCTGAAGAGGGAGAATCACTTGAGCTCAAGAGTTTGAGACCAGCCTGTGTAATACAGTGAGATCCCATCTCTTAACAAAAAAAAAAAAGTAGCTGGTCATGGTGACACATGCCTGTGGTCTCAGCTACTCAGGAGGCTGAAGGGGGAGGATCACTTGATCCTGGAGTCCAAGGCTTCAGTGAGCTATGACTGCACCACTGCACTCCAGCCTGGACAAGAGTGAGACTTTGTCTCACAACAAAACAAAAAAACACAGATATGTAAACATTCACACACGAGAAGGAGAAAGACAGAAAAGAAATACTCCAAAACATTAAAAGTGGTAGTTTTACTTGTTAGTAAGATGCATAACTTTTTATTTTCTATGTTATACTTGTGTTTTCCAAATTTCTACAATAAGTATGCATACTATTAGAAACAGAAAAAAGTTACTAACATTTAAAGCCTTCAGTATAGGTGGGCCTGAGACTTGGATATAAAGTACAACAGATAATGAAATAAATTAAAAGGTAGATACGTACCTTCAAGTTGAGAATCTAATCTAGCTAAGAATTTGATGTTAAAAATTGCCTTTAGCAGATCTTCTGGAAAATATTCAAGTGTGGCCAAAGAGAAACCAAGAAACACTAACATATGAGGATCGAATATACCTAAAAGAAAATCAAGATTCTTTTTAAAGTTATAGTTGCCTCACTTATATATAAACTTACAATTTATTCAGGCAAAGCCAGGTTTAAAAAAAAATGATATGTGGTCTTGACAAAACTAATCTATACTGTCACAAGTAAGGATAATAGTTAAGTGCTTACCTTTGGGTGGGGGTCAAGAAGGAAAAGGAGACAAGAGGAGAAGGGTACTGTGATAATATTGTGTGTCTTGATCTCGGTACTGATTCCCTGGGTGATTCAATTTGCATAAATTCACACTATTATACTAAAGTTACATGAACATTTGTTATTACACTTTAGTAAATTGTTTTAAAAAAAGCCTTGGAAAAGGAGTCGGAAGTTGCAGTGAGCTGAGATTGCGCCACTGCACTCCAGCCTGGTGACAGAGCAAGACTGCGTCTCAAAATAATAATAATAATAATAGCCTTGGAAAAAGAAAGAATCCAAAACAAAAATGATAGTGGTGCATGTAAAAAGAAGTGATCCCAGTATTGGCGATAATAATACAAGAGTGTTCAGAGTATGTTACATACCATTCAAAACACTTTACATATATTAACTCACTTATATCCTATTTCCATAATCAGTAGAAACAATTATCTCTGCTTTATAAATAAGTGTTAGGAAGCACAAAGAGGTTAAATGACTTGCCCGAGATCACAGAGTTGGCAAATGAAGAGTAAGTTTAACCCAGAAAGTCCAGCTCTGGAGCCTGGACCATTATACTATGCTGCTCTCTGGGGATCTCAGATCTTCAAGCAGAGTGTACATGTTTTGAGGCTTAGGTCTTGCCTAGCACCTCCTCCTTTACCTGTCACCCAGGAGCATGGCAGATGTCCCACAGTGTAAGGCTTCACCTATTTACCTGATTTGCCTCATCCAAGGGACGTTTCTAATGTAGGGGAAAGGGTCACCTAAAACGCCTGAATGGCATCAATATTCTTACTAAGGACAAAAGAGACAACATTAAGTCTCTCCTTTTCCATTTTTTGCTGAGTTTATTTAATAAAGAAAGACTAGGTCATAAATGAAGTTAACAGTGAAGATCTCCACGAGCAAAACCAATCTGTCAAAATTCATCTTTACTTCAAAACAAATAAAATTATTACTCCATTAGTTATTTAAAATTGTACTTATAAAGTTCCCTAGGAATTTTTAAAACATTCTCTGATTAAATTTTAAAAACTCAAAGCTATACTTCTCAATCTTTCTTCCCTTACACTCTTTAGCAAGAAAAAATTCTAATTTCTAAGACTCTATTTGGAGAATATGGGAAGAGATGTACTTTTATTTCCTTCTGGTTGTTGACACATGACTCAACAACCAGGAGAACACACTAAGTCTCAATTCGAAGTCTCATCTTTCTACATATAGTTGTGTGACTAAAAAGGGGTATAACTGTATGCCACACATGTAACACATTCATATACACATATAAATACACATATCACAGCCTCATGTTGTAGGCTGTGACACAGTAATATCAAACATGGTTAGATGCTATCTGGCCTATAGATCCCACAAAAATGTAGCAAAGTCCATTAGCATGATGCAGACACAATTAATATATTTATACTGGTTTCAAACCAGCTTCACCAGAGGTCTAAAGGTCTATATAAATCCCTAATGTAGAGCCTAACATGTTATGCTGGATATGGAAGCTCTCAGTATCTGCTACTTGGTAGATTACTGGGTAATTATTCTTACTCTCCAGGCAGAGCAAAAAGATCTGAAGAAATCAGTCTCTGGTTGTCTCTCCAAACTTATCTCCTGCCAAGTCAGTCTCCCTCACTCCACTCCTGCCACACTGAATCTACTGTTCCTGGAAAAAACCAAACATGTTCTCATCTGAGGGCCCTTTCCACTTGCCTTTCTTTCATCCTGGGACTCTCTTCCCTATCTATTGACATGGATCACTCCCTTACTTCATTTAATCCGTGGTTAAATGACATCTCCTCAGAGAGGCAGTCCCTGAATCCCTTATCCAAAATAGCACTCCATCTCACACTTAACATGATGCTCCAGCCTACATACTTTACCCTGCTCTAATGTTCTTGAAGGTACTTATTACCATCTGACCTTAGAGGCTTGTTTATTGCTTGTGACAGTCTCCCCCTACCAGAAAGTAAACTCAATGATGGCATCTTATCCGTTTTTACTGTCTCCTGTATCTCCAGTGCCTAGAAGAATACCTGACAGTTAAGTACATGGAAAGTGTTGACTGAAAAGGCAACGACTACTGAGCATTTCTCTTCTAAAACCTCTGTATCATACTGACAAGTACATAGCATCAGTCTGAAAACAAAAGTGTCATAAAGCTCTACTCCTTGAAGGTCAAACTGTTCCAAACCCAACTCAAGATCCAAAATAAAAATGAAAAGGAAAAAGTAATTTCCTGTCTCTGCTGTCCTCACATACTGTTTCTGCTAAGGCCAACAGCAGGAAGGACTATTTCTATTCTACTTTTGGTACTGAAACATTTACCAAAAGACTTTTTTGGCCAGGTGTGGTGGCTCATGCCTGTAATCCCAGCACTTGGGAGGCCAACATGGGAGGACTGTTTGGGCCCATGAGTTTGATACCAGCCTGGGCAATGTGGCAAGACTCCATCTCTAAATTTAAGATAATTTTTTTAAAAAGACCTTTTTAAGAGATACAAAATAATCAGTACAAGAGGAGCAACTCTTCAAACAATTCACAGACAACTATTAAGGTTCTTAAGAAACATTTTTTTTTTTTTTTTACTTTCTAAATCGAGAGAAACAATCAGATATTATGTGCTTCCAAATGTGATATAAATATAAGGTACACAGCACTACGTACAAGTTATTTTTGCTGCAAGTGGTTAATCTGAACCTAACCAAGCATCTATACCTAACTTCTAGTTTACCACAAATGCAGGAGATGGAGAAGCAAGTTAAAGGAAAACAATCAGACAAATCCAGAATGTGCCACAATTTATAAAAAAATGGCCAATCATTTTATAAAAATATCAAGCAAAATAAATGGAGGAAAAGACATAACCACTCAATGTTGATTGTTTAAAAAAAAGTTATAAGAGATAATTTAGTGACAATTGGGAAAATCTGATTATGGGCTAGGTAGTAGATGGTACTTGTTAATTTTCTTTGGTAATGGTAATGATACCAGTATTACAGTTACACAGGAGAATGTCCTTATAACCTGAAGTACATAGAGCTGACAGCTGGAAGGTTCATCATATGCATACGTGCTTGTGCGCATACACACAGCAAATGTGGCAAAGTTAATCAATACTCAATCACCATTGTGGGTCTACAGTATATTATACAGATGTTTGTTATATTGATCTTTCAATTTTTCTGTATATTTGAAAACCTGGATAACAAAAAAGTTCAGAAAAAAAACAACCAAGTCAATGCCAAGAAAAGAAAAAAGGGAAAAGAAATTCCTGACTATAAAAGACTGAAGAGATAACAACCAAACACAGTAAGTAAATCCTGGATCCAAGACAACTACTCTAAGAGGTATTTTGGAGGCCGGGCACGGTGGCTCAAGCCTGTAATCCCAGCACTTTGGGAGGCCGAGGCGGGTGGATCACGAGGTCAAGAGATCGAGACCATCCTGGTCAACAAGGTGAAACCTCGTCTCTACTAAAAATACAAAAATTAGCTGGGCATGATGGTGCATGCCTGTAGTCCCAGCTACTCGGGAAGCTGAGGCCGGAGAATTGCTTGAACCCAGGAGGCGGAGGTTGCAGTGAGCCGAGATCGTGCCACTGCACTCCAGCCTGGGTAACAAGAGTGAAACTCCGTCTCAAAAAAAAGAAAATAAAAAAAAAAAAAAGGTATTTTGGGAGTACTTAGGGAGACTGAAACATGAACTGTGTATTAGATATTAGAGGATTATGATTAAGTTTCTTAGGTGTGCCAACAGTATTGTGGTGGTATAGAATAATGTCATTATTCTTAGGAGATGTATGCTAAAGTAATTAGGGGTGAAGGGTCACAATGCCTGCAACTTTGAAGTGGCTCAGAAACAAATAGAGTCAGAGAAACAAATGGATCAGGCCAAAAGGGTAAAATGTTAACATTGTTGAATCTACACAGTGAGTATATACGTGTTCTTTGTTCAATTCTCTATACGTTTGACTTTTTTCAAAATTAAAATGGATACAACAGTTTTTTTTACGGCTGGGCGCAGTGGCTCACGAATGAAATCCCAGCACTTTGGGAGGCCTTGGTGGGTGGATCACCTGAGGTCAGGCGTTCAAGACCAGCCTGGCCAACATGATGAAACCCTGTCTGTACTAAAAATACAAAAAATTATCCAGGTGTGTAGTCCCAGCTACTTGGGAGACTGAGTCAGGAGAATTGCTTGAACCCAGGAGATGGAGGTTACAGTGAGCTGAAATCGAACCACTGCACTCCAGCCTGGGAGACAGAGCAAGACTCTGCCTCAAAAAAAAAAAAAAAAAAAAAAAATTTTTTTAGGTAGAGAATTCATGTCTATTATGGATACCCTTTAAATGAGGGGCACTCCTAGCTGAGCAGCAATAGCTATCCTCTGACTTATTCACTCAATGCATTACCAAACAATATACCTACCTAAGTAAGAATTAAGATGTTGCATGCAAGTTTCTAAAAATTCATCCCTTTGAGGTGGATCATAATTCAAAACGCTGAACGGAATAATAATAGCAAAAATTGTAAAAGGATGGATCTGTATAAAAAGAAAACAAATAGTCTAAACTTGAGGAAAATCAGACACAATTTTAACCTAATTATTTTTTAGGAGAAATCTTTTCCTACCATCGCTATAGTTAAATAATAAACATCACTTGCTTATTAATTTTTCCACCCTGCTATAATTTATTTAACCCCATCAACAATTATTAATAACTTCAAAAGTGTTGGCAAGAAAAAAAGTAAATCAGATAATCTACAAATTTATTTTGTTAGGTGTAAAATTCTGTTCTGGTTGGGAGTGGTGACTCACGCCTGTCATCCCAATACTTTGGATGACTAAGGTGGGAGGATTACTGAGGCCAGGAGTTCAAGACTAGTCAGGGGCCGGGTGTGGTGGCTCACGCCTGTAATTCTAGCACTTTGGGAGGCCGAGGTGGGTGGATCACCTGAGGTCAGGAGTTCAAAACCAGCCTGGCCATCATGGTGAAACCCCATCTTTAAAAAAAAGAAAAGACTAGTCAGGGAAACATAGTGAGACCCTGTCTTTATTTAAATTTAAAATAAATTAATTAATTACTTAATTCTGTTTCAGAATTCATTAGTCACCAAATCGAATAGGAAACATTATCAGCAATTTCCATGATGATCAGTACATTTTATAGAATAATCATAATGTAGTAAAGTTTCTTAATTTATAAACATTAGCATTTATTTTTCTTTCATTTGCCTTTTTATTTTATTTTTCACTCATTCATCCAATACTTAATGACTGCCAAGCACTATACTAAGCAAATAAGATAACTTTTTTATTTTCATTTGTGAGAAACACTGTCTTTTAAATAAAGGCCTTTCCCTGATATATTTATGATAGTGATTTTGTAAGTAAGCTGCTTCTCACATAATCCATAAAGAGGCATTTTACAAGTAAGTCCTAGAAATAAATCTGCAAGATACAGTGACAATTTAAGAATACTGTTGTCAATGGATACCTTATCATTTTCTGTGTTCAAGCTTATCTCACACTTTTGAATATAATTCCTTTAAAATGATAAAAGTAATACCACGGGATTATAGAAAATAAGAAAAAGCAAAACCAAAAATCATTCATACTCCACTATCCTAATACGAATATCCTCAAAGAATTGATTCCTAATCTTAATATTGTGAAGAACCAAAGGATGACTGCTGATCTAAATCTGCAATGTTGGAAGAACAAAGTGGCTTTAAGGTTTTTTAAGAGACAAGGTCTCACTCTGTCACCCAGGCTGGAGTACAGTGGCAGTGGTGTGATCATAGCTCACTGAGCCTTAACTACTGGGATCAATCCATCCTCCCACCTTAGCCTCCCAACTGCTGGAATTACAGGCGTGAGTTACCACATCTGACCCAGAATTTAATTTCTAAACTTCAAATTCCAATCCAGGTACTCAAAGTGCCTATGATAAAAATTATGCTTGCAGAAGTTGACAACTCTATAAAATTAAAGTCTAACATTCAAATTTCACCTTTTCAATCTGCTGAACAGCCACTGAGGCTATCCTATCAAGTAGCAAAGTACTGAGGTAATTAGTTTTAGAAATAAAATATGCAATCTCTGCAACATTTATGTAATTAATTTCATCCCTGAAACACTGTAAAGCAGCAATCATTTCTTCAATAAGTGACTCAGGAAACACGTCTCCTTTGAGAGATTTCAGTTCCTTCCATAACAGATCAAAACTGTTGATGTGTTGTAGTCTCTGATGACCATAGTGATCTAATTTTTGAAGTAGTTTCAGTTGTTTCCCAGTATTACTATCCAAATGCATGTGGTCATACTGAATCCATCTTAAAACAGATGCAGAAAAACCAGTCAGCTTATTTAGGTCACACTGTGGTAAAACTGCTTCAATTCGGGATATCCCCACTTCGTCCAAGTGAGGAGAAGGAAGCATGGAAATAGCACAGACCAGAAGGGACATCTCAGTTGGTATGAAACTGATTTTCAAATAACTGCAAAATGAAAATGAAAAGAACAAAATTAATACATCAGCAACAAAACCAAAATATATATTAAAATATGAATATACATAATTAGTACTGCAGTTAATAGGTAAGATGGTGATTCAAAAAAATCTCTTTCAAAATGTGTTTTTCCTCTACTCTCAAACCACAACAATCATCAACATGGAAGACTTCTATGACCAAATGTGTGTGGGTTCTTCTAAGCAGCGGACACTAGCTGGGTGTCCAATTCAGTTCTGGCACTATCTACCTGGAGACAGTGTCAGATCCCACAAGCTGGGAACTCAGTCTTTAAGACTGACCTCTGCCACAGAAACCCTATACTCCAGTTGCAAATGTAGGCCTCCAGAACTTCTGACCATCTGGCTTCAAGTTGGAGTTCCCACAACCTCCTCTTTGGGTTTAATTTGCCGGAGTGGTTCACAGAACTCAGGACAACACTTACTTATGTTTACAGGTTTATTATAAAGGATGCTATAAAGAATGCCGATGAAGGGACAGTAGGGTGAGGTATGTGGGAAGGAGTGCAAAGCTTCCATGCCCTCCCTGAGCATGCCACCCTCTAGGAATCTTCATGTGTTCAGCTATCCAGAAGCAGTCCAAACCCATTCTTCTTGGGTTTATATGAGCTTCATGATGTCAGCATTTCTTCACACAGAGTGTAGGGTGGGATCTTTCAGGGGAGCGTCTTACGACCCACAATCAGAAAAGTGGAGGAAGATTAGAGTCCTCCTTTGGGGCAGGAGAAAGATTCTGCTTCTGGAGGTCCAACGCACCCAACATTGTAACAAAACGTTATACCAAGAGCTATAAAAGTTATGAACTAGTAACTGTGAATGAAAGCCAAGATATGTAACCATCACAGGTGGGCATAACACAAGCTAATTTAAGAAGGGTTAGATAGGCCAGGCCTGGTGGCTGGCGCCTGTAATCTCAGCACTTTGGGAGCCCAAGGTGGGCGGATTGCCTGAGGTCAGTAGTTTGAGACCCATCTGGCCAACATGGTGAAACCCCATCTCTACTAAAAACACAAAAAAATTAGCCGGGCGTGGTGGCGTGCACCTGTAATCCCCAGCTACTCGAGAGGCTGAGGCAGAGGAATCCCTTGAACCAGGGAGGTGAAGATTCCAGTAAGCCAAGACTGTGCCACTGCACTCTAGCCTAGGTGACAGAGTAAGACTCTGTCTCAAAAAAAAAAAAGAAGAGTTAGATAAATTCAAAGACGACAGATCCGTGAAGGATTATTCAGGAAAGCCTAAGACGTTCTGAAGCACAGGTCAAAATTTTTTATTCAAAAATAAAACCATAGTCCCAGGGAAACAAAAAGTCCATGTCAGAACATGTGTTTCCAGTGCTGCTGCTGAAGAAAGAATTTGGGTTCAATTTCTGATATGACCTGTCAGGCCCTGGCATACAGTGATCATGTAATAAAATGGGTTCCTTTTTCGCTTCCGATACATAGTCCAACTTTTAAAACAAACAAACACCAACAAAAGAAAAAGGACATACAGATGACCCCATTCTCTACTTCTTTCCCAAATCCCCATGGTAAGAGTCCCAGGACACCAGGACAATTGTTAAAAAAAAAAAAAAAAAAAAAAAATTTAAAAACTAGGTGCCAGGCATGGTGGCTCACACCTGTAATTCCAGTACTGGGAGGCCAAGGTGGGGGATACCTTGAGCTCAGAACTTCGAGACCAGCCTGGCCAACATGATGAAATCCCCTCTCTACTAAAAATACAAAAAACTAGCTGGGCGTGGTAGCACATGCCTGTAATCCTAGCTACTAGGGAGCCTGAGGCACAAGAATCGCTTAAACCCAGGAGGTAGAGGTTGCAGTGAGCCGAGATTGGGCCACTGTACTACTGCGTGGGCGACAGGGCAAGACTCCGTCTCAAAAAATAATAATAATGTTTAGGTACAGAAGTAGTGGAAGGAATAATGCAATCTAAATTAAAATAAAATTGAGTTACTTTTAAAATACTTTTTAAATTATTATTATTATTATTTTTGAGACAGGATCTCATTCTGTTGCCCAGGCTAGAATGCAATGGCACAATATAACTCATTGTAGCCTTGACCTCCTGGGCTAAGCCTCCCTACACACTGGGAATGCAAGCACATGCTACCCTACTTACTTAATTTTTAATTTTTTGTTGTTGTTAAGACAGGGTCTTGCTTTATTGCCAAGGTTGGTCTTGAACTCCTGGGCTCAAACAATCCTCCCAGCTCAGCCTCCCAAAGTGCTGGGATTACAAGCATAAGCCACTATGCCTAACCACTTAAAATTTTTAAATTAGCATACTAAAATAATCATAATATTAATAGTCAATGTTAGCAAGGGTGTACTGATACAGGCATTCTCATTTCTTATTAGTAAACTTAAAAAGTTGGTGTAACTCCCTGGAAAGTTATTTAGCAGTATAGCTTGAGAACTTTAAAAGTATTTTAATTGTAACATTTGACGTGGTCAATCCCTGTTTGGGAAACTAACCTAATAAACTAACATAAAATCCAGGAAAGAGGGAAGTCTTTTGCCAGTGCAGTGGCTTACACCTGTAATCTTAGCACTTTGGGAGGCCAAGGTGGGTGGATAACAAGGTGAAGAGATTGGTGAAACCACATCTCTACTAAAAATACAAAAATTAGTTGGGCATGGTGGTGCACACCTGTGGTCCCAGCTACTTGGGAGGCTGAGGCAGGAGGATCGCTTGAACCCAGGAGGCGGAGGTTGCAGTGAGCCAAGATTGCACCACTGCACTCCAGCCTCAGCAAGAGAGCAAGACTCGATCTCAAAAAAATAAAAAATAAAATCCAGTAAGAAAAGATGTGTGTTATTAGTCATTTTTTTTTTTTTAAGAGGGAGTCTTACGATGTTCCCCAGGCTGATCTCCAACTCCTGGGCTCAAGTGATCCTCCTGTCTTGGTCTCCCAAGTATAGCTGGGTATAGCTGGGATACAAGGGCACACCACCATGACTTATCATATTTTTATATGTGAAAACAATCTAAATAATGAGGGGGAATAGCAATAAGTGAATTATGGTACAGTCATATGACGGTTACTAACCAGCCATTAGAAAAGACTTACAAAAATTACTTAATGATGTAGAAAAATGCTTACAAGGTAAAATGGCCAAAAACAAACAAAATTGTATGGTCAACTATGAAAAAAAAAAAAAATATATATATATATATATATATGTGTGTGTGTGTGTAGTATACAACGAGGAAATAAACTAAATTGTTGACAGTGGATGAATGAGTTTATGAATAATTTTTATTTTCTTCTTTACATTTTTTTCTTTTCTTTTCTTTTCTTTTTTAGAGATAGAGCCTCACTCTATAGCCCAGGCTGGAGTGCTGTGGTATGATCATAGTTCACTGTAACCTTGAGGTCCTGGGCTCAAGTGATCCTCCTGTGTCAGCCTCCTGAGTAGCTAGGACTATAGGCATGAACTACTACGATCTGCTAATTTTTTAGTTTTTTGTAGATGGGGGCTTGCTATGTTGAACACGCTGCTCTTGAACTCCTGCCTCAAATGATCCTACTGCCTCAGCCTCTCAAATATACTTGTTTTCCAAAATTTTCAATATGATTTTTATATAATATTTGGCCCAGTGCCTGACACAAGTAGGCACTTAGTACTGCATATTTTAGTCTTATAATCACAAAAAAAATTAATACATTATTTTATATAAAGAAATGAAAGCGCTCAAAAACTGCATCACTGTGGAACTACCAGTCTTGAGATACTTGTCTACAAATAAACCCCCAACAGATAAAATTTCTCCAACCTCCATTTGCTATTTTTCCTTGTAATACTTCCTCAATTTCCAAAGCTTAGATATTTATGTTTATTTATTTATAATTCCACAACATACTTACCAGAACAGCTAAAATTAGAAAACATGAGCATTGTTCTGGGTTATAGGGGAAAAAAAATAAAAAAATTTTTTAAAAAAGTGTTGGCAAGAATATGGAGCAACAGCAATGTATGCATTCTGTTAGTGGGAGTAGGAACTGGTATAACCATTTTAGAAAATGTTCAGCAGCATCTACTGAAGATGAGCACATGCATACCCTATGAACTAACAATTATATTTGCTGGCACACAGAAATGAATATGTATGTTCACTAAAAAATATATATGAATTTGTTCATAAACAGTACTGTTGATAATAACCAAAAACTGAAAATAAATCAATGTCCATCAACAATAGAATAAATTTTGTTATATTCTTACAAGAGAATACTATACACAAAAGCATAGATAAATCTCACAAACTTAGTATTAAGCAAAAGAAGCCCTACACAAAAGAAATCACACTGACCAGGTGCAGTGGCTCATGCCTGTAATCCCAGCACCCTGGGATGCCAAGGTGGTTGTATTACTGGAGTGCAGGAGTTTGGGACCAGCCCTGGCAACATGGCAAAACCCTATCTCTACTAAAAATACAAAAATTAGCCAGGTGTGGTAGCACATGCCTGTAGTCCCAGCTACTTGGGAGGCTGAGACAGGAGGGTCACCTAAGCCCAGGAGCTGGAGGTTGGTTACAATGAGCCAAAATCACGCCACTGCACTCCAGCCTGGGCAAACAAATGAAACCCAGTCTCAAAAAAAAAAAAAAAAAAAAACTCTGGGTCCCCTGAGCTGTTTCAGGACATATTTACATAAGCATTTATGTGAATTATTAGTTTCAAATAGACTGCATTCCTTCTAATATCTACTTGAGATTATTTGCACTAAAATGGAAGAAGGTAATTCTGAAACACGAGGTATGTATGATTTTTATATAACAACTCCCAACTTTTAATTATTAGTCAATAAGTCAAATATTTTTGATACAACTTTAAATTACAGATATAAAGACTCTCCTTACTTGGAATTTAATAAACTTTAACATTATCATACATGCTTCAAGTCTTTTCATAAAAGAAACAAAACGTTACAGGAAAATGAAATCTGATGATCCCACTCCTGCTCTTATTTTTCTATTAACATACATAGAAGTATTCAACAGTATTGAATAATTTAATTTTTTAAAAAAATAATGTGCAGTATATGTTTACAGCAGCACAATTCACAACTGCAAAGATGTTAACCAACCTAAACGCTCATTGACTAATAAGTGCATAAAGAAAATGTGGTAAATATACACCATGGAATACTACTCAGCCATTAAAAGGAAGAAAATAATGTCTTTTAAGCAACATGGATGGAGGTGGAGGCCATTATTCTAAGTGAAGTAACAGAGGAGAGGAAAATCAAAAATCATATACTTTCACTTATAAGTGGGGGCTAAACTATGAGTACACAAAGGCATGCAGAGTGATATAATAGACTTTAGAGACTCAGAAAACCCGGGTTGGGAGGCGAGCTAGGGATTAAAAAAAAAAAACATGTTAGGTAGAAAGTATACTACTCACGTGACGAGCACACTTGAAATCTCAGAATTCACCACTATACAATTCATCCATATAACAAAAAACCACTTGTATACCAAAAGCTACTGAAATATTTTTTAAAAGAACAGAAACATAGGCCCGGCACAGTGGTTCACACCTGTAATCCCAGCACTTTGGGAGACTGAGGGCAGATCACAAGGTCAGGAGATTGAGACCATCCTGGCCAAAGTGGTGAAACTCCATCTCTACTGAAAATACAAAAATTAGCTGGGCATGGTCGCAAATGCTTGTAATCGAGCTACTTGGGAGGCTGAGGCAGGAGAATCGCTTGAACCAGGGAGTCAGAGGTTGCAGTGAGCTGAGATCGCGCCACTGCACTCGAGCCTGGTGACAGTAAGACTCCATCTCAAAAAAAAATCAAATCAAATAAAAATAAAAATAAAAACATAGGCCAGGTGCAGTGGTTCGTGCTTGTAATCCCATCACTTTGGGAGTCTGAGGCAGGTGGATCACTTGAGGTCAGGAGTTCGAGACCAACCTGGCCAACATGGTGAAGCTCATTTCTACTAAAAATATAAAAATCAGCTGTAATCCAGCTACTCAGGAGGCTGAGACAGGAAAATCGCTTGAACCTGGGAAGCTGAGGTTGCAGTGACTCAAGATCGTGCCACTGGAGTGCAGCTTGGGTGACAGAACGAGATTCCATCTCAAAAAAATAATAATAATAAAACAAAAATAAAAATAAATAAAAACATAAAAACAAAATATAGAAAGACAAAAATAAAAACAAAAAAATAAAATATGGAAAAATTTAAAAATAAACAAAAATAAAATATGGAAAAATTTTTAAAAGCATGCAAAAAAATCTCACTGTGTAGACATAAATCATGTCTGGGCTAGTTTATAATATCTAATTTAGAACATAAAATTCATAATTCAGAGGCAGTCTGTGAAATTCTATGCTAAATATGGAAAGGGTGAAGAAACAATAAACATCTTATCATCTTAAGAAGAAGAAACTTCTTCAAGAAAAAGATAAACTTCCTTATAACATCCAAATATGCTAAATTCTTATTTGATAACATGTCATTTCATATTCCCCAGTTCAAGACCTTTTTTAACCATAATGTCACATTACTTTATTATAATAAAAATCATTTTCAACTGTATGCTGGTTCAAGCCTGTAAAACCTTGTACTCAGGAGGCTGAGGTGGCAGGATTGCTTGAGCCCATGAATTTGAGGATGCAGAAAGCTATGATCATGCCACTGCACACTGCACTCCAGCTTGGGCAACAAGGTAAGACCCCATCTCTATGAAAAATAAAATCAAATTAGCCAAGTGTGGTAGCAATACTACTTGGGAGGCTGAGGTGGGAGGATCAGCCCAGGACTTCAGGCTACAGCAAGTTATGATTGGCTGCAGTGAGCTATGACTGTACCACTGCACTCCAGTCCAGAGGACAGAGTGAGACCCTGTCTCAAAAAAAAAAACAAAACTGTATCTATAGAAAATAAGGTAATTTTAAATTATAAAGGGAAAATTCTGTATGACAACACTTTTTTGCCAGTAGCAGTGGCTCTCAACTGTAATCCCAGCACTTTGGGAGGCTGAGGTGGGTGGATCATCTGAAGTCAGGAGTTCGAGACCAGCCTGACCATTATGGTGAAACCCCCATCTCTACTAAAATTACAAAAATTAGCCAAGCCTGGTGGCACACACCTGTAGTTCCAGCTACTTGGGAGGCTGAGTCAGGAGAATTACTTGAACCCAGGAGATGGAGAGCTGAGATCGTGTGACTGCAATTCAGCCTGGGTGACAGAGTGAGACTCCCCAAAAAAAAAGAAAAGAAAAGAAAGAAAGAAGACACCTTTTCACTAACATCACCATTATATCTTATTCTCAAAATTTTGAATTTAAAAATTTAATAAGCCTTAAAATAGGCATGCATGCAAGACTGAAGGGCCCTAAATATGAATGCTCCCAAATGGAGTTTTCAATCAGCAGCCCTCATCTTTTCATGGTTACTCCATTCTGCAGGAAAGGAGAATGGCTTTGCTATTCATCAGTTTACTGCCATTCCTCTCCTAGGGAACTCATCACCCTACTGGCCTCATTTCCATTTCAAAATATACCCAGCATGGGCATTGGCAGAATGGTCATGGAGGGAGATAAAGTGTCATAACATTTTTACTAATAAGCTTCACAATTTTGCTCTATAACTTCTAGCACCTCTGTACATAGTTAAACAAAACAAATATTGTGGCTAGAAAATGAAATACTAAACAAACATTTCTATTTTTATCTTACCTAAGCAGTAATTCTCTAAGTTTCACAAAAAACTCCTTACTTTGGAAATGCAGAAAAGTCAATGCTTGAGTTATCTTCAACAACTCTAATGGTTTATAGTTATCCAAATGTTTATACAGAACTGAAGCAACTCTAAAAAAGGATTGATAGAGCATATATTATAACCAATGCATTCATTTATCACACATTTGCTGTAGTGCTTTCACTCCAGACACTGCTCTGTGCTGGAAAAACAGCAATGAATGAGACCAGATTTTCTATTCTTGAAGAAATGTCTCAAGATGGCTCTAGAAATGTAAACAACTAAAACAGAATGAAGTAAAAACAATCAATGAAGTATGATTGAAATAATATTCAATTATTAATTGCATAAGCAAAGCATAGTTTTTCTTCCTCAATTAAACAAATCTCACAGAGCATCAAATTCCACATCCTCCCCATAACAAAATCTTTACCAAGAGTTACTAATAATTAGCAGAACTAATTTAATTTTCTTCCTTAAATCCACTGGCCCTCAAATGAAGAACTAAGGGAAATACTAAGAGGCAATAAGTTGGAAAAAATGGGACATAAGAAATAGTAAAATAAAGGAACATATATAGGTCATGAAAAATTAAGCATATGCAATTAAGTATATATTAAAATATATGTGCAATTAAGCATTTATAAAAAATAACCATATTTTTTCTTCTGAAATCTCAAGTTACCAAAAAGCCAACAAATGGCAGTATGATTTCTTTTTTTTTCTTTTTTGTTTGTTTGTTTGTTGATTTCAAGGTAACTTTGTGGTGTGAGACAGTTCCAGTTCATACAGATATTAACTGTGCTGCAGAAACTTTCCTTTTGAAAATTATGGCCTTGGTCATAATTTTGGGAGAACTGCTTGAGCCCAGGAGTTCAAAACCAGACTGGGCAAAATAGTAAGACTCTAGCTCTATAAAAAATTTTAAAAATAGGAAAGTAAGAAAAAAAAAAAGAAGAAAAAAAGAGGATATTTTCTCTATGCTCTCTATTTCACAAGGTTATGATTCTCCACTTGAGTGCAATAGCACCAAATAAATTTTTTGTTTTTTGAGACGGAGTTTCGCTCTCGTTACCCAGGCTGGAGTGCAATAGCGCGATCTCAGCTCACCGCAGCCTCTGCCTCCTGGGTTCAGGCAATTCTCCTGCCTCAGCCTCCTGAGTAGCTGGGATTACAGGCACGTGCCACCATGCCCAGCTGATTTTTTGTATTTTTAGTAGAGACAGGGTTTCACCATGTTGACCAGGATGGTCTCGATCTCTTGACCTCGTGATCCACCCGCCTCGGCCTCCCAAAGTGCTGGGATTACAGGCGTGAGCCACCGCGCCCGGCCTCCAAATAAAATTTTTAAAATGCTATAAACAATTGTCTTTCTACTTTGAAAAAACAAACTAGCACTTTGGGAGGCTGAGATGGATACATTCCTTGAGCCCAGGAGTTGGAGACCGGCCTTGGCAACATGGCAAAACACCAACTCTACAAAAAATACGAAAATTAGCTGGGCATGGCAATAAGTGCCTGTAGTCCCAATTACTCGGGAAGCTAAGATGGGAGGATCAATTGAGCCTGGGAGGTGGAGGGTGTAGTGAGATGTGATGCCACTACTGCACTCCAGCCTCCGCAATGTAGCAAGACCCTGCCTCAAAAAAAAAAAAAAAAAAAAAAAAAAAAAA